GCGATGCAATTGCTTTGTGGATGTGGCGCATTTGAACACTGCTTGACTCAAAAGTTTAATGAGTATCACAAAGAATCATTGTTGAAATCTTCGGTTGATATGCATCCTGTGTAGTGATTCAACCAGACATCGCTACATAGATACCCGGTTTGCACAACACCAAACTTGCATTTCAGCTGTGCAGGGTTGAGAGTTTGGACCACCCTAATGGACATAAGGTATACAACTGGTCAGGGCTTCGCCGAAAACCCTGGGGGCATGAACTCTGCAGCCGAAACCCCGAACCATGGGGCCGAAAGATTGAACCCTGGGAGCCGGATGGTTTTAGGGTTTAGGGTTTAGGGTTTAGGGTTTAGGGGTTTAGAGCAGGTATGGAAAGCTAAACCCAACACACGCCCCTGCCCGCCATGGTATAAACACTCGCGCAGACACACACACACACACACACAACACTGACTGAAAGTCCAACAACTCCTTCATACCTGCTGACACCCCGTCCGTTAACAACCCATTTACGGTAGAGTAGCATCTAGCTTAACAGTTCACATGCTTGACATGGTATAGTACAGTATAGTACAGTGTAGCAATAGTACAGTATAGTATAGTAAAGTAGTGCATGGCACAGTAAAGTCAAGTATAGTATAGTATAGTATAGTATAGTATAGTATAGTATAGTATAGTATAGTATAGTATAGTATAGTATAGTATAGCATAGTATAGTATAGTATAGTATAGTATAGTATCGTAAAGTATGGTATCGTATAGTATAGTATAGCTTTGTACAAGGTAGTAGAGTGTAGTACAGTATAGTATAGTATAGCAAAGCATAGCATTGCATAGTAGAATATCGCATTGTAGAGTTTAGTATAGCCCAGTATAGTAAAGTCTAGTGTAGTATGCTTTAGAATATTGCATAGTCTAGCATAATAAAGCAAAGGTATAGTGTACCATGTTGTAGTATGCTGCAAACTAGTATAAGCAGTGGAAGCCCAAGGCAACACCATCCTTTGGGTCCAATCGGCCATCCGGGTGGTGCCACTTCTCTGGATCGTTGGCCTCCTTAGTGACAAGCCCACAGTGGGGCGAGAACGGGGTGGGCTTAGACCCTAAACCCAAAACCCCAAACTCTAAACCCTAAACCCACAGCCCTAAATCCTAAACCCAAAGCCCTAAACCCTAGACCCACAGCCTTAAACCATAAACTCAAAACCCTAGACCGTTGGGGTTTAGGATCCGAGCTTGCGCGTAAACCCTTAACCCTGAAGCCGCAATCCGGAGCCCACAGAGCCCAACACGCCTAAACAGTAAACCCTAATGTAGGGGCCTGAATAAGTACCAAATACTATTTTGGGGGGTTCCTCATTATAAGTATAATATAAAGGGGCCCCAAAACCCTACTCTAAATTTTTAAGGCCCCTATATTACACCCCTAAGTTGCCGCTTGGATCATGTAGGCCAATGCTGCGTCAGGAGCCGCAGGTCAGCCTGCCCCAAGCCCAGCTAGCACCGAGAGGGACAATCCCAGCTGCAGCACGGTTGCCAGGATTTTGATGCTCTGCACGAAAATGAAATACCTAAACCCTAAACCCTAAACCCTAAACCATAAACCTTAAACCCTAAACCCTTTTCGCTCAGAGCTCTTTACCCCAAATGTACGCCCTGCAGCCTTGCCCCGGCGACGACGGCAAAGCCCAAGCTGGATGTGTGCGTGGCCCAGCCAGCCTGCCTCCCGCCGTAATTTCTTTGTCACATTTGGGCTCTTCACCAATGGCATCGGAAGCCATCAAAGCAAGTTATTATACCTAAACCCTAAGCCCTAAACCCTTATCCCTGAGCCCTAAACCCTAAACCCGAAGTTCGCGAAGCCCTAAACCCTAAACCCTAAATCCAAAGCCCGAAGCCCTAAACCCCAAATCCCAAACCCCAAACCCCAAGCCCTAAAATTCCGTGCAGCGGCCGATCGCCACCTTTGCAGGATACTTCACTGAAGTGCATAAGTAGAGAGGCCTTCGTACTTAGAATAGGGTTTCGGGTTTAGGGTTTAGGGTTTAGGGTTTAGGGTTTAGGGTTTAGGGTTTAGGGTTTAGGGTTTAGGGTTTTGGGATTCCTTTTTGTAGGGTTCCTTAAAGGGTTCTATAAGGGCTACTCTAGGAGTTTAGGGTTTAAGGGCCTTAATAATTAGAATAAGGTTTTGGGGGTTCCTTTAAAGGGTTCCTTACAGGGCGACTCTAAGGGTTTAGGATTTAAGGGCCTTAATAGTTAGAATGGGGTTTTGGGGCCCTATACTATAACTATAGTAAGGAAACCCCAAAGCAATATAGGTAATTAATTATTAAGGCCCTACATTAGGGTCTGCTGCGAATTCAGCTCCGGAAGCACGGCCGGCGTTTTCGCGCCGAAGCCAACAACGTTGAAGGAAGGGATTGCGCCGTAAATTGGGAACCCTTACCCCTTAATCCATTAGCCATAAACCCTAAACCCTGAACACTGAACCCTAAAGCTTAAAGCCCTTAACCCTAAACCCTGAACCCTGAACCCTAAAGCTTAAAGCCCTAAACCCTAGGCCGTTGAGTGAGGGCTTGTAGGGCTCTGGGGGCTCAGGGGTTAGGCGGGGGTTTGGGATTCAGGGTTCAGGTTCTTGGGGTTTTATGGAAGACAGGAGGGGATGCATTCACAGAGAGTCATGCAAGTAGACAAGCCAAATATATATATATATATATACATATACATATATATATGTATGTGTATATATATATATGTATATGTAAATCGAACTTGTGACCCACATCAATGAATCCCTGGGTCCTCCAAAAGGATCCAAAACTACACCCTAACCCGAGACGCCCCAATACCCTAAACCCTACCTTAACCCCGGTTCCTACGCCCTAAATCCCTTAACCTTAGTGTAACCCCTTGAACACCCTAAACTCCAATCCAAAGCCCTGAAACCCCAAGCCATATTCAGTCCTCAACCCTGGAGCGCCCTAAACCCTAATCCCTAAGCCCTGAGCCCTAAGCCCCAAGCCCTAAACCCTAAACCCTAAACCCAACCCCTAAATGCTAAACCCTAAACCCTAAACCCAACCCCTAAACGCTAAACCCTAAACCCTAAAAACCTTAAGCCCGAAACCCTCAACCCTTAACCATCAAAGCCTTCCGAGGCGGAGGCGTTCTTGCTGCCGTACCAGCAGAAGTACCACTTCCGCTGCGGGTATTTCAAACCTCACGGGTTTAGGGTTTAGGGTTTAGGGTTTTGGGCCCCAAACCCTAAACCCTAAACCGGGCGTTGAGGCTTCAGGGTTTGAAGGTCCAGGGCTTTTGTGGTGGGGTTTAGGGTTTGGGGTTTGAGCTTCTGAGTTTAGCATTTGTCGGCTTACGTTTCCGACTTCACTTTCTGGTCAGAAAGGTTCCACTGAAGGACTTCGCCGGTAGCTTTTCAGTAGAGTCAGTAGAGTTGTAAGTACCCGAAAAAGGGTTATCCAGCAGCCCCCGATCCTTAAAGTATTCTTTATGGTTTAGGAGCCCTGTCACCCAATCATACCTCTGGCTACGCTAGAGGGGCCTTTCTCATTACCCATAGTTCTTGAGTTTTAGGGTTTAATAAACCCTAAACCCTAAACCCTAAAAGGGCTTTACCGCAGGGGTGCATGTCTGCAGTGCGGCGAATGAATGGAGTGAGTCGGGCCTGGAAGTGCCCCTGGGCTTCAATGTAGAAGCGCGAATACTCCAATTAGACTCGGCTTTGTGGCATAGCTTGAAACTCTAGCTACGTTCGGAAGCCCGTGACGCAAAGCATGTCGCGAATTATTCGGGCCTTTATGCTAGGGCTTCGAGTGTGGTCCACACCCCAAGCGCTACACTGTGGGTCTGCGAAGCATCCCTAAACCCTAAACCCTAAACCCGGAACCCCAAGCATGATGGGACACCTTACATAGACCTGAGCTAAACCTGAACCCTAAGCTCGACATTCTCACAACCTTCGACCCCAAAACTCTAACCTCGGAACCTGACATACCCATACTCTGAACGCTAGGACACCTAAACCTTAGACCTAAAAAATGCCTAAACCCTAAACTTGAACCCCAAACCCTAAAGGCCTAAAGCCGGCCTTTCTTGCGAGCTTTCTCACATTGCTTTGCCCACTCCTGCAATCTTCGATCCGAGATCCCAGGCCCCGGGGGCTGGGGTCTTTTTATTTGGGGTTTACCTGTAGTCTCCATTGTAGCTCCTTTTGGGGGTTACCTTTTGGTATAGGATCCTTAATATATGATTGGTTAAACCAAAAAAAAAAAGAACTACAAGGGAGACTATAGGTAGACTGTTTAGGGCCTGGGGTTTGGGGCTTAGGGTTCGGGATGGAAGGAATAGGGTTTTGGGTTTAGGGGTTCGGGGTTTAGGGTGTGGGGTTTAGGGGATTTTGAGGATTTGGACTTGGGGGTTGGAGGGTGAAACCAAGGGAAGTATTGTATGGGTTTAGGGTTTAGGGTTTAGGGTTTAGGGTTTAGGGTTTAGGGTTTAGGGTTTAGGGTTTAGGGTTTAGGGTTTAGGGAAACCAAGGGAAGTATTGTAGCGGCCTCGACACTTAGGATCAGGTTTCACGGTACATTGCATGTTTCTACGGACATATAGGCACCATGAGGGCTATAAGGGAATACTGCTTAAAATCATTCCGACCCCTGCATTAGCTCTGCCTAAGTGACTTTCAATTATAGTGTCACACGCAAACATCCGAACATCCCAGTGCAGGGCCTTGTTTGTAGGAGTCAGCTTACAAATCATAATAGGGTTTTGGGGTTTGGAGATTATTTGTAAAGCTTTAGGGTATGGGGGTCGCCCGAAAGTTTGAACCGGAAAACCACTAAACACAAACAATTTCAACCCTAAATCCTACACCTCGAGATTTCGACATAAATAGGGGGCTCAGGTACTACTTTTCTGGATCAGGGGGCTCAGTAAGTAGGTTTCTAGTAAGTTTTAGTGAACCGCGAACCCCAAACTGCCTCCTTCATGTCATCCCCCTTGAGCTCGGCGAAGTTGCAGTAGATGGTACGCACGTGGACCTGGAGGATTTACAGAGAACGCGTGAAGGAACCCTAAACCCTAAACCCTCCTAAACCCTAAACCCTAAACCCTAGTCGTGGGTGTAGGGCTTGGGGTTGTAACCTCCTGAATCGGCTCTTCCACCTGAGAAAATTTAAATTGCAGGTATACAGGGGCTCGAGAGTGCCCAGAACACTTGTACAATCCTGACCCGACAGCCACAAGAATATATGGGTTCTTTCGGGGTTCCTTTCAGGGATCTGTAAGGGTTCCTTTTTCGGGTTCCTTCGAGGGTTCCTTTAAGGGTTCTCGAGGCTGTCTGTTGGCTCAACAGACGAGGCTGTGGGAGCTGCCCCAGTCTGGAGGTGGAGGCCAGAACCCAAAAAAAAAAACAAAAAAAAAATTCAAAGCGTATGGCATACGTATAACACGGAACCTAGGGAATAATATTGGTAATTATTGAGGCGTCCATAGCAAACCCAAATCCCCCTAAAGCTCGAAGACCCAACAGCCTGAGACCAGAAAGCCTAAGACCATAATTCCTCAGACCCTGAGGCCCGAACCCATGAACCCCCCCCCAGTTTAGGGTTTAGGGTTTAGGGTTTAGGGTTTAGGGTTTAGGGTTTAGGGTTTAGGGTTAAAAAAACTCGTTCGATTGCTCTCCGAGCAAGCCCCTAAGACCCAAAACCCTAAGACCCAAAACTCC